AACCGCATCAGGTCCAAGGGGCTGCGGAAGCTGCGCTGGTACTGTCAGATGTGCCAGAAGCAGTGCCGCGATGAGGTAAGCGCGCCCCGGCGGTGGCCGGGCCTGCGGCCGGCGAGCGCGGCGGGCCTCGATCTCTCGGGGAGGGCGGGCGGGCCTCCGGGGGGGGGCGCGGGGGGCTCCGACCCCCTTGTAGGGAAGCCCAGTCCCCTCGAGGGTGGCGGTTCGCTTGGGGATGCGGTTGGGGTCCTCAATCCCCTTGTGGGGGTTCCGATCCCCCTTGTAAGCGTCCCCCGTGCCGTTGAGGGGAATACGGGGCGGGGGCTGCGATCGCCCTTGTAAAGGTTCCTAATTCTCTTGTCGGGGCTGCGATTCCCTTGGGGGGTACGGGGCCTCATAACTTTCTTGGGGGTTGCCAGTCCCCTTGCGGAGGGGTACAGGGCTGGCTCAGATTCCCCCTGTAAGTGTCCCCAGGCTCCTTGTGGGGGCTCTGATCCCATCTGTGGGGTGCGATCCTTCTAGGGAGCATCCTGGCCTCACTTGCTGGGAGCAAGAGGAGCCCCAACTCTCTTTAGCATTGGAGAGGGCCCTTATTCTCCTTTGGGTCTCCCCAGTCCCTCTTGTATGGACCACGGTCCCGTTGGGGGCAGATTGGTGGGACTTGGAGGGTTCCCAGTTGCTGGGGGTGGGGCGATCCTATTGGGATCCCCAATCCCCCATGGGAGAAGTCCTCATCCACTTTGGAGAAAACGTGCTGGCCCTGATCTGTCTTTGGGGATGTTCAATCCCCTGCAAAGTGACTGACCAACCCAGGGTGAGAGGGAGCATAGGGTGGCCCCAAACCCCCTGGAGGGGTGACTCCCTCATACACACCATGAGAGGTCGAGGGGGTTAAGAATTAGGTGGCTCCCATCCGCCTTAGAGGAGAGTTGAGGGTAGCCATGACTTCCCTTGGTGACAGGGTGGGTGTGGTGACATGCCCAAGGGAATGCACGTCTGGAGCACTGTGAGGTCTTTTTTCATAGAATTGTAGAATCTTAGAATCATAAAATGGTTTGGTTTGGAAGAGTTGGGGCTCAGAGCCCCGTCCAGCCTGACCTTGAATGTTTCCAGGGATGGGGCATCTACAACTTCTCTGGGCAACCTGTGCCAGTGTTTCACCACCCTCAGCATAAAGAATTTCTTCCTTATATCTAATCTAAATCTACCTTCTTTCAGTTTAAAGCCATTACCCCTTGTCCTATCACTATGTGCCCTTGTTAAAAAGTCCTTCTCCAGCTTTTTTTAAGGCCCCTTTTAAGTTTTCACCACCCTCAGCATAAAGAATTTCTTCCTTATATCTAATCTAAATCTACCTTCTTTCAGTTTAAAGCCATTACCCCTTGTCCTATCACTATGTGCCCTTGTAAAAAGTCCTTCTCCAGCTTTCTTATAAGCCCCCTTTAAGTATTGATAGGCTGCAATAAGGTCTCCCCAAAGCCTTCTCCTCTGCAGGCTGAACAACCCCAACTCTCTCAGCCTTTCCTCATAGGAGAGGTGTTCCATCCCTCTGATCATTTCTGTGGCCCTCTTCTGGACTCGCTCCAACAGGTCCGTGTCTTTCTTTTGCTGAGGACTGCTTGCTTCTGATTCTGGCTTGGTTTCTTCCCTTATTCTCCTGTTATGAAGAGATGCTTTTTCTCTGAAGCTTCCCCCTCTTCTCTTCAGTTGTCTATTTACTTGGACCCCCATGCCTGTGGGATGTGAGTGTCCTCTTCCTGATTTCCACCAGAGTTGTGCTCCAAAGTACCTCCACTTGAGCTAACTGTGCTTTTAGTTCTCCGTTGTCCATGAATAGCCTCTTTAATGTGCCTTAGAGAAGAGAAGTAAAGCATCCTGTGAATGTTTAATTGTATCACTCTTCAGCTGTTTCTGCCCCCCTCTCCCTTTCACCCAAGGAGCCCAAATCCTATTCTCTTCCCAGTGACTACAAGCAAAAAAGCTTCACTGCGTTACAGCCAGATCTTTTTGTAAGGGCGGGCAGGGCTCCCATGGAATGAAATTTGCTGTAGATTTAATCATACTGTGATGAAAGGGCATTATATTAGACAAAAAAAGGATGTGGTCAAACGTTCTATGTCTGGGTGCTTTTTGGGGAGCTCCGATGACTTCAGTCCTGTGCCAGAGGTGGCCAAACTATCACAGTCCGTAGCCTGAGTGTTCCCATGACACCATCTCCTCCTTACACACATTTGATGTCAGTGTTTATCAGGTAGGGAGCCAGCAGATACTTCCAGTGCTCTCACACAAGCACCTAGATGGGTCCTGGGTGGACTTGGGTGGTGCCACGTCTATCCTGTTCCGCACGGGACGAAGAGGACTGCTGGAATGTCCTGCTCATAACCCCTGTCACAGTTTGTCTGAAGGCTCTTGGCCTCAGGAAGCTGGCTTGCCCGGTCAGGAGGCACAACCATCCCGTGTAGGCTCTGGCTGAGTTAAGGTGTTTTCTGTGGAGCCTCCAAGAAATTTCACTTATAAAATGTTATTTTTAATACTCTTCAGCTGTGTGAGTGTTGCAAGTTGAGACAAAGTATTTATTTTTATTTTATAGAATGGCTTCAAATGTCATTGCATGTCTGAGTCCCACCAGAGGCAATTGCTGCTGGCTTCTGAAAATCCTCAGCAATTCATGGATTACTTTTCTGAGTAAGTTTGCTATATATTCTTAGCCAGGTCTTCATTCCATACCTCTAAGGCCCAATCATGTCCCATTGAAGACGCTTTATCCTGATACATTTTAGTGTCAGCTCTTTTTTTAACGGCAATTTGAAAATTTAGGCGATGGCACTTTTGAACGCATGTAAGAGGTTTCAGGGAGCCACGATGTTTAATAAAATTTGACAGTTTTATCCTGTGTCTGAGTCCCGTTTTAAGTTGCTCTGTGTTACAAAGTACGTCACCGTTCTGCCCCAGCTAAGTGACCGCCACACGTGCAGAGTTACAAAGAGCTAAAGGAACCATTACAGAGAGAGAACAAGTCAGGGGTGTGACTGACGTCCCACAGTTTCCCCCAGTCCTTTGTCCGGCTGACCTACATGATGGCTGGGTTGACTGGAGCTGTCTTCAGCACGGGCCTGAAGCGAGGCTTGATACTCAAGCCCTTGAATTAGCAGTGAGATGAGTGATCGGGCTACCCCATCTGCCACTGCTGCCCTTTGTCCTGCCGTGTGTTTTGTGTCAGTCAACCCGGGAAGATACCTGGTAATGAAATAGCAGCAATTAGTGGGAAGTGTTTAGATTTCGTTCTTTCCATTTTATCCCTTTGAAAGCGTATAATCCTTTTGAAGATTTAACTTGTGTGTGCAGGTCCCATATTGTGTTTCTTTGTACTGCATTTCTTGCTACTTTACTGAAAAAGGGAGATGAGTGTCTGAATTTCATTATGCTCAGTTCAAAAGAATACTCATTTTTATACTGCAGATATTTCGTTGTTAATGACAATAGAAAATTGCTTCGTAATCATTAAAGTTTTACTAAAATACTTTCTTTTTATCCCTGAGGGAGTTCCGAAATGATTTCCTAGAACTGCTCAGGAGGCGATTTGGTAAATATTTTACTGTTTCTTTGCTTGTTTGTTTGTTTTTAATGTCTTTTATTAGTTCAATAGAAAAAGTTCCAGTTGCTTTCTCCTAGGTCCCGTATTTATATTTAGTAATAATAATTCTGTATTTCAGGAACAAAGAGAGTCCACAATAATATTGT